TCAGTCACGCTGTCGTCACTCGGAAACACGTTAGCATGCTCCTCCTGCCATCTTTTTCTCGCTCGGTAGCCTGGTCAACTTGTCTTCTTAGTCTAAGACTTGATACTAGGGACAATCGCCCCCGGTCCAGAACTTAACTTTCGTACTTCAAGAAAACGACTCGGAGAGGAGTTAACAGGACAAGCTCCATTCTGGTAGCTAGTAATGCGGGCAATGCGTATCGACAAAAACAAGAAGAGAAGGATCAAGATCATCCAGTTCTGCTTCAAAGCCTGCAGAGACAACACATACATCCCCTCGCCACCAAACAGACCGGAATCAAGCACGGCGCGCAGCCTATCAGCATCGTCCAATGGACACACCCGCTCTTCGATTGCAACTCAGTGCACCACCACTCCGCCGCCTCAAGCCCGATACGGTGTTTGCCCCCGTCATAACCCTCCCAGTTCCGGTTTACGAGGTCCGTCTGCGGGTCGAAACATGCCTCAGGAACGCACGTGCAGTTGCAGCACGCCATATCCACCAGCGCAGTGCAACATCCGCGGCTCCGGCGCTCATCGCTGATGACAGAGTCGATACCGCCAGCAGCGAACTGTGATGTGAGCCCCATGGCCGCGGAATGCACGCAGAAGTCGGCGAAACAGACAGGGGTCCGGCACGGGCAGGAGACCACGGTGAGCGCGCGGTCGGCGGCTTGGCGAGCCGGGGTTTTGGACGGAAGGGAGTCGTAGCCCATTGGTGGCATCGGTTTCGGCTCTGCAGCAAGTTGTCTCGTGTTAGGGCAGCAAGTGTGGGGACGCACGCTGAGTTATGACGCGTCCATGCCCGGGCTGGTGGCTCGCCATTTCGACCCCTCGACCCGTTTCGCGACTTGTACCGGGCAGAGATTTTCCACTTCACCGATTATATGAAGGCTTCGCCGTCGTCAAGGCGATAGGCAAATCATGATCGACAGATCGGGAAGGACATGCGGATCTTCGGCCCTCGGCGTCGGTCGACGAACTGGCATTGGACGATACTCCAGCTATTGCCAGTAAGTATATGGTGACAGTATACTCACGCGCCTCCACTTAATCCTCCCTTCAGAACTCGCAAGGGCAAGCAAGCCTCGAACTCACGGCAGCAAGTCGCCAGCAACGGAATCAAATACTTAAACTGAGCCCAATGCAGCGATCCCAAGCGAATGTAAAGCATGTGAGTGCTAAGGTAAATGTTGTAAGTCACTGTGTCCGTGGACTGTACTCCTGTACTGACCTGCTTTCACTCGGATCTGGTTGCAACACTGTATTGACTGACACAGTTGGTTTCGAAGCACCTCCACCGATTCCCACGAAGCTTGTTCTGCTGAATTTATTCATCTATCGTACAAGAAAGCACCCAAACTGTGTGGACCTAGACCCCAATTCCATCCACCGTCAATATCTTTCAAATGTCCCAGTGGTCCATCTGGCCTCCACCGCCGGAATAAAACAATGACTCTGAACTGGGGAAGTCTTCGCTTGTGAACTCGAAACCAAGCTTGGTCCCGCTGTCCTCCTCCAAAAACATCCCTGGACAAGCATCTTCGTCGATCCACGACGCGAGGGTGTTGTCCGAGCCGGGACTCGCATAGTCCTGCCCATAATGCTCAGGCTCATGAAGCGTCAGTGGCGGGTAGGCGTTGCCCGAATATCGCGGCCGGGAGTTTGGTGGCGGGGGAGAGAGTATATGGGAGGCTCGGAACGGGCTGGGCATTTGCTCTCGCGCTATTCCTACCTGCGACTGACATCGGCATGCTGACGGGCCCGGGTGAAAAGCTCCTCCAGCCTGAGGGCTCCACCGGCGGAAGCTCGTGGTACCCGGCGCTCGGCGGGTAATAGCTGAGGACTTGAATTACAGTGGGCACTGGATACTGGCAGTTGAGCTTGCGGATTTTGCAGCGCGTGCAGGCCTTCTGCTCCGTTGGCACACACTGCGCGTGATTAGCAATCCCTTGGATGCCAGCAGAAACGCGTCCTTACCCTGGCTTTCAGATGTCTGCAGTTCATGCACGCAATTTTGCTGCGTGGAAGCTTCTCTTTGTGCTCTCCGCTAGTCGGCTTTGACCGTATCACGCGGGAAGCCGTGGTTGATGGGGGCCTCGGCGGGAGGGCCGGCGTTGTTGAACGGGAGCCCGCGTCAGACGAGGACGGCGGTGAAGCGCTTGCGGAGGAGGGGGAGGAGACAAAATCCGGTTTGGGGCGTGATGTGTAGCGCATCGTGTGCCGACCCACCTGCTGTAGGGTGCCCTTTTATCCATGGTCTCGCGCAACCATTGGCGTCTGCCTCCACGGTCAGGTCGCACACCCCAAACGATGATCGACGGTGGTACAAAGCAGATATGACACACCGTCTGACCAATGGGCCGCCAGTTTTTGATTCCCGTCCCTCAAAAGTGATCGCCCTCCCGAAGATCACTGATGGCGTTGGGCGCTTGCTGGGAAACCCGCTTGGCGCGCACGTCAATCGCTGTCGAGACTCTGGAAGTCATCGATTCCGCAGCACACCGTGTCCAGTAAAGTATGGCCACGGGAGGCAATGTCGTGAAATCTCGTCCAGATCAATTATCGATTAGTTTTGTGATCGAGTTAGCTCGCAGCAACGAAGAAAGCGAAACCGCATTTGGTGGGCAACCAGCAAGGAGTGCTCATCGCCATTCGACATCAGTTTTCAAAATCGGGTGTTTCGGGCCCGAGCCCCGCACAGACGAACCCACTCTGCCCCGACATCAGATTTGCAGCGTCAGCTAGAAGCGATGCAGCCTCTCCTCTCGTCGGAGCCCATCGAAGACAACGTTAGCCACCAGAGAATTATCCTTGCAACCAAAATAAACCGGTCGGTCCGTGATCGCACGACTACGAGCTCGAGGCGTCATGCCTTATCCGACGATTCCGATGTCCGCCCTGCAGTCAGCGCAACAAGTAACGGGTGGCAATGACAATCCGGAGGAAGCACCTCCATTTTACGCCAAGTTCTTGCCATCCACGCAGACCAGCAATCAGCATCTCCAATATGCGGTTTATGATCGGAGCCAGCGGAGGCCATGACCACAAATGGAAAGTGTCGCCGCCTCGTAATTGATTGGCTGGGCTTTTGCTGTGGCACAGGACAGGCGTATTGAATGTAGTGTTCCGTAGAGACACGAAGACAATCGCGAAGGCGGCATCTTTCGCGGATCCGACTGTGAAAGGCAGGTCGACTGCCTTACTCGGAGATGGTAGTACTGAGAGAAAGAAGTCAACGGGAAAGGAGGTGGAATGATATCGAAAGCGTCCGTCAACTAGTTCCACCACCTAGTTCTACAAAGCAAGGTATCAGCCAGGTATGGGTGGAGATACGTATGAAGTGGTATGGGCAAAGAATCAACTGAAGTAACGTGCGTGTAGGAGTGGATAGTAGGCAGGAGAAGTGTTATGAGGCAGCTTCTAACAAAAAAGGAACTGAGAGAATAAGGAGTGGTATCAACTGAAGTGAGGGGTAACGGATAACAGGCAGTGGATGTCAGAAAAAGGGCCCAGACAGAATGTTGTGGGTCTAACCAACACTCGCCCCCCCCTCGTTTCTTCATGCGAATGGAAGAACGCGACATTTTAGCGCTATGGCGTGTCCCGGATGTGCCGCTGGAAAGCAAGCTGGGCGAGCAATGGATGGGAGGTCGATTGATTAGTGCACGGAAAGCATGCAATCATTGGTTGCTGTCCTGGTGGTCGCTGCATTCCCCTGATAGACAGTCTCTCATTGAGAGAACGAAGGGGAGATAGTGGTGCGGTCATGGAAGCAAGACCGACGGAGTAGACAGATGAGGCTATGTCCAGTGTGAAGTCGGAGACCATATAGGCCAATCGAGTACACGAAATAACAAGTGGGCTGGTAATCGTCGGGAAGAGGAGCGGATATGATCAGGATGCGAAGATGGGGCGGCGGAGAGGAGACGTGAAGGGAAGGGATGAACGGCCCGATTCAGAGCGAGCGGGTCCTAGTCTGTGCTCGCGTTCTTTTCGGGGCTGAGGGGGAAGGCGATGAAAAGACGTTTTTGACTGGTCGAAGACTTTCGCAATGTTTGTGTACGCATCCATGGCCTGCTCGTTTTTGTGTACGGTTGCAGCCGTAGTGAGGTATAGTCCGTATAGAGCACTGAAGACGACCGCTTATTCGGTGAATTAGCGTGTGAGGCTAGGGGAACAACGACGTACCTAGCATTCCTCCCAGCAGTTGTATGTCACGCTTTCCACTACACCACCAAGGGCTTGAGAAGTACGCATAGTCAAGGAAGCGTCGTTCTGGGTTGTCGTGTGTGGCTCAAAGCCTAGTATTTTTCGAGGTGATCATTGTGCCCGTCTTGAGCGGCGAGGGGGTGAATAGAGATGCATCGCGTTGCGTATGCGGTACTGGTGAGGCTTATTCGAGTTCGTGGAGAAGCCAGGGAAAAGAAAATTTATGTGCGTGTGACATGTGTGACAGCGGCTTGTCCTTGTCCTTAACCAAATCAAGCGCCATTGTAGTTGATTTACTCTCTGTATGCATCGGTATGAATTTGATTCTTCAATACAACTCAGACACTAACAAAATATTAGGCCCGATACTGGCCTTTTTCTTTTGTCGGCGTCCCTTGTGTTCCAAGAGTCAAGCCTTCCAAATTGTCGAACGTCCGACCCATCCTCATAATGCAAACTTTACCGTGAAGACATATGTGGGCCGTTCAATGGCTATGACAGATTGAATCACGTTCGCTTTTCTAGCTGTGACTGCCCGTGGCCGGACCCAAGGTGAACTACTATGCTTAGCCCAAACTCAAAGTTTTGATATGCCACCAGGTGCCAGTGGTTCTTAGCGGCACAGGCGTCAACCGTGCAGACAGTAACATCTCGAGCATGATCATTCCAGGCCAGAATACCAATGTGTTGCAAAGAAAACAAGGAATTCGGAAACGAGTGGACAGGTATGTAAATCCGTGTTCTCTCCTGCTTCAAGTTTTCCTCTGCTTAAAGAGTAATAGGGAGGCAGTTAATGGCAATGAGGCCAGCCCACTCCTTCTGGGGAGCCTCGCAGGTGACGGTTGTGCCTCCGCTGAAATAAATTGAGCGACATTCGAAAACCAAGGAGAAAAACCGACCAGTTGTTGCCGATAACGGTAATGGGGGAGCAGCTGAGACCGATGGGGATGTTTGCTCCCCCGAGATCGATGCCAAGAAGGGCAAGAAGTCCCGATACAACGCTGCTGGTCGACGAAACAACACTGTTGCAGCACTGGGGAGAGTCGGAGGGTGGAGGGTCGTTGCGAGATTGCAGGCCCGAGTTGGGGACGGCGACAGCAAGGGTCTGCAGCATTGGTGAGCTCGTCACAAACCCTAGCGCCCAAGCCCACTCACAGCGAGAGCCAGGACGGCGGTGTACTTGAGGTTGGCGAACATCTTGTTGTTTGAGTGTTTACTTGAACTGGTGAGCTCGAGTGAGGAGTGCAGGTCGAAACCAGGTGCCTTTTATATGTTTCTCCCCCTCCCTGGCACCTCGGCTTTGTGCTATCTCCCGCCTGTTTCTATTTTTCTTGGATTCTGGAAACACAAGTGCTGACCAGCTGCACGTTCACAGGACATCCCCATCTGCCAGAGATACATGTGCTGATTCGTCCACAGGAGCCAATGACGAGCGGGTCTGGAACAAAGGGACGGGGCCCGCGGACGCTAGTTGGCCCGGCCTCCGCCCCCGCCATGCTCAAGTGGAGCATATTATGTCCAAGAATGCACTGTTGTCGGCGCGGCGACACGAAAGCTTGACGGCTGTTGACCAAACTGAATCGACCAGGATGGTGCGTGTGTAGAACGGTGATATGCGAAGTAGTTTCATCCACTTCACCTCAATAGACCTGTTTTGAACTCTCTTCAACAGTGTAATCGCCGGCGGGCATTCAACTGAGCTTTGGCCATCCGGGAAGCCAAGGCCTCTGACACACTTGAAGCTCGCCACTGAACTATTCATATCCTCCATGATTTGCGGCCATGCACGTCACCCACAGAAGCATCGTCAGTGAGCCTCAGTGTTGATCGACCTTCGCATCTTTCATTCCGCCTTTCGCGGCTGCCAGCTGCCAGCCATGCGATTTATTCTGGTCATGACACAGGCGACGTCATTGGCTGGGCAGTCGGCCGTTCTGCGATCGTCTCTAAAATTAGCATTGGTCGGGTAACGAGTTACCGGTCATGTTTTCGAGAGCCTCGCCGAATGATTACTCTACAGGAGCAACCCATCCGTCGACGGGCTTCGGATGAAAGCGGAACACATCCCGATACCTCGGGAAACGATTAATTAACAGATTTAATCAACAAATTTCAAGTGGTATATGACGCCGACGCGGACGACGCGGATGTTATGCAGCAAGGCGTTTTTTGTCCCTGTTCACAGAGTGATCGGGATACAGTTGATCGCAATGAGACTGCCCCACTGCTCCTTGGGCGCCTCGCAGACGACTTCCGTGCCGCCGCTAGGACGCATCAGTACCTCTACAACTCGCAGGACTGGTCTATACACACCAGTTGTTGCCCAGAACTGTGATGGGGGAGCAGCTGAGGCCGACTGGAATATCCAACAACCCGCTAAGGTCGAGCCCGACGAGCGCCGCGACAGAAGAAGCGACACCGCTGCTCGAAGAGACGATACTGGCGCAGCATTGCGGCGAGTCGGTGCGGGCGGCGGGGGTGCTGGCGGCAGCAAGGGCCTGATATTGTGAGTGCTGGGCCACCGTTCCTTTGGATTTGAATACTTACGGCGAAGGCGAAGGCAGCGACGAGTTTGGAGAACATCTTCTTGTTCGGGAGGGTGCTTTGGACGAATGAGTTCGAGTGCAGAATGAAGGACGAAGAGGCTGGCTTTTATCCCTTTCGACTCTGGCCTTGTTCGTTTCCCGTTGCTATGTTTCTCTGCCTTCCTTCTTCCATTCCGACCATGAAAACATTCACTGACGAATACAGCAGCCAGAGCGCTCATTGCCTCATAATGCGTCCTCTCTGCCAGATATATATCGGCACGGAACCGAAAAGTGTCTCTAGGCCCGCTGCTAACCTGCGCTGAGCGGAGAATGAGGGTGAGTTACTCTCGCAAATTGACCAGGAAATTTGCAGATGCTGAAACACTGCACAGCACAATCACCATATATTTTAGCAGAAAAGAGGCGATCAACTCTACCCTTCATCGAATCATCACTATGATTGTGGTAGGCTTTCTTTCTTTCTTTCTTTTTTTTCTTCTTCGCTTCCTTTTTTTTCACTCCTCCTACAGGTTCCATTCCAGACTTTTATCGCAGCACCGCTGACATGTCTTATTCTTTGCAAGTATTCGCGGGTAATCAGGTAGAGAATCGGCGCTGCATATAATTCGGACAGGAATCATCGAACACCGACATCGTGCGACATGTGGTCACGTCATCGATATTTTTTTTCAATCCCCTTCGCCCGGAGCCCCTCACCTGCTCTATCCTCTAGACGGCATCCAATGAAACATGCGGCGATATTGACACGTTGTCCCGGGGAACGCCAACCGAAACATCCGCACATGAGTCTCCTTTTCCGAGTCGCCCTTCCTTCCTCCAGTCATGGCTGCCGCCATCCCCACCAATATCTTTTCTTACCTTGTCGGGCCACACGTTAGCTTTGTTTTGCTTCTTTTCTGTTGACTCATTAAACCTCAATCACAGCTCGCGGGTGCATCCGTTGGCGCCGTCTTCCTTGGTGTTGTCTTCCACCAGTTCTCCAAATACCTTTCGAGCTGCTCAGACGAGCCGCTATATCGTCGGGTGTATGTCTGCATTGCCGTGTTTTTGACTACAGGGAGCGCCGCGCTCGAATTGTGCGTGTTTCGTTCAGCCGTGTCTGTACTGATTAATCTTAATTATAGCGCAATGTCATGGGAAAAGATTATCCTTGCGAAGGAATTTCTGGGGGACCCCGACCTGCAAATGACAGGAACAAGCTCAATGAGTGTCCTCAATGTCTGCTCTGTCATCTTGCTGTTGGCTAATGGATGACCTTCCAGGCCGCCTTCATTGCCATCTATGTGCAAAGCTTTTACCTGCATAGGCTATTCATGCTGTCGAAGCGGAACTGGTACCTCGTTGCCTTTCTCGGCACCGTTCTTCTCCTCGCTTTCGCTCTCAGTCTTGCCGCTGTGTGTACTCTGTTCTCTAGCTGCTCTCATAACTTGATTATTAGGTTGGTGTGCGGTTGCGCCCAGCCGCGTCAGACGCAAGTGATACCCCAACGACTTTGCTTCTTTGTGCGTGGTCCTCTGCGTAGTATCACTTACCCATGTTTGTGTCTGATTCACAATGCTAGACAACATCCATTTCGCAGTCATTCTTGGTGCGCTTCACTCATAAATGCACCTTTGCTTCGTCCTCTCAACGCTGTTTTCTCTAGTGGGAGACCTCCTGCTCACGCTTACCACTGTCGGGTACCTTGTTTATTACCGCAAGAAAGTCCTCCCGCAGAGTGCAGGCCTCTTTAAGAGCCTCATCATTGTCGTTTTCCAGTCTGCTGCGCCGGCGACGTTTTGGTCAGCTGCTGCGCCTTTTGCTCCAAATTCACTGACGCCCCATGGTGCAGGATCGTTATCGAGTTTGCCTTCTGCGTTGCTTTTCCCAATCGGCCTTTTGCCCCGTTCGCACGTGTAACAGCGACGCTTGGGATGAATTTGGTCCTCAATAAGCTCTGGGCGATATCGCTTCTAGCCACGCTCAACTCGCGACGGAAGACTTCGATTTCGGGAAAAAGGATTTCGGGGACAAGTAATGGGAGAGGGACTCAGAATGAAGCCCATATTCGGACTGGCTACTGAAATTTCAATACGTTTAAGCACTGTACAACAGTCTATGATTGCAATGAACAGGGTTCGACCAAGTTTTGTTTTCGCCGTCCACATGTCGTGTCTTCATGGCTGACTCATCACCTGCGCCACACCTCTGGACCATCCTCCACACTTTCTACCCAGTCTACGGGCGAGACGGCCCGGAAGCACCCATCGTCACTTGAAAGCTTCAATGCTCGGGGCAAGACTCGTTTTCCGATGTTTTAAAACCTTCGAGCGGCTAGGAGACCGCATAACTGGCGCCGCTGGCCCATTCTTCGTCGCGTTTGCAGTCATACTTACGGGGCTCGGCTCGGCCTGTTTCTGTATGTCTTTCCTGTGCTCCGTCTCGCAACTGACCTTCCCCAGTCACGATTCTACTCCCTACCCTCTCATACCCGCTCCTCACCACCCCGCTATGCATCCTCATTGCCCTCAATATGCACGGCCACTACTTCCTCGTCACACGCGTTCGCCCAGGCTTCGTTGGCCCACCACCACCACCCCCAGTGGGCATTTCACCAACACAGCAACCACAAAGTCGAGGGCGGATAGAAGACAGCGCCTTTTTATGGGCTCTACCACCACACGCAAACACCAGCGGAGGAGAGGCACGAGTGACGAGGGCGGCGACGACGAGATGCAAGAGATGTGCTGTAATAAGGCCAGAAGTACGTGGCTCACTTGCCTTGGTTTGTTTACTCAAATGGACAGCGAGCCCACCATTGCCGGATATGCAATCGTTGCGTGCTCAAATACGACCATCACTGCCCTGTTGGTGTGCTTCCTCCTCGTTTTCGTGGTCTCATGCCTCGTCTCAGTGTCCGTCTCCCGCATTGTCCCTTCTTCCCAGCTCACAGTCCACCAGGGATAAACCAATGTGTCGGGCTCCACAACGAACGCCATTTCGTTCTCTTTATGGCCTACCTTGTTGTTGGATGTGTGGCCTTCTGCTATACTAGCTGGGAGATAGGTCTGGGTGTCTTGGGATTTGGCGTGGAGTGGACGGTCTGCCCCTTTTTTTCGTTTTTTGTGTGTCTTAACTGACAAAAACAGTAGAATTGGGATTACACCATTCCTTCGACAATCTTCCTCCTCATCTACATTCTCGCCGCAGTCATGTCGCTCGCGGTGGGCATCATGCTGGCCTTCCATCTGCGCACTATTGCGAATGGGGAGACAACGGTTGAGGGTCAGGACAACGAAGTCTATCGCAAAGTCGCGGAACAGCGCGCTGAGGCGTTTGTCAACTCGTACGACCTCGGGAGTGGGCTGCGGAACATTGCTCTCTTCTTCAATGTCGCTATTGGTATGCTTTGGTTTCATTCCCGATAGAGTCTGACTTTGCTGTGATAGGCAAACACTCACCATCTCCAGCGCCATACCCGCTATACTCCCTGCTCCTTCCCATGCGAGTACATCCCTACACAGACGGCTGGTCATGGGCACGTAGAGAGGGTTACGAACAAGGGCATGCTGGTATAAAGAGAGGCGAAGAGTTGACTGATGAGGAGGAAGAGTTCCCTGACTCCGAGCCGTAGCATTGGTGAGTTTTTTTTTCAACTTGTTTCCGGAATGAAGAAACCCGCCGGGGCCATTTGACGCTCGCGAGCCGCTGCTTTGTGGCACTCGGGGAGTTCTTTTGGATGATATCATATCCGGCTTTTCTCTCATACCTGACTTGCCTTCTACTGGACGTTGTTGTTATTCAGTGCTACGACTGATTGTTTATTTAGGTATCTGCCGCCTTACTGAGCTGTATACTGATCTAGAAGTACGATGTTTCTGTGCCTTGTGGGGAGAGTAACGTACCACTTTAGGTTGTAACTGCGCCAATGTGGGTTTGACGATGGCATCGGACAAGAACATCTCGTTTGGGGTTGACCCTGTGCGTGTTGCGAAGCTTGTCCCAAAACGTTCGATTTTCCAATATCGTGCAACTTGGGATCTTGCATGGCTCGCTGCTCTGCATGGGACCTCTTAGTCGAAGGGTGCTGGCAACAGACAGCCTGAACTTTGGTGTTGTGCACAGTTGAGTACTGACTTGCCGACAACCAATTTAACACCACGGACCTAGTATCTTGAAGCCCAGCATAGCTTTCCCCACGTGGCAAGCTGCACGTTACAAACTTGACTTAATCGAGGGTAAGGCGACATCGGAGTTTCAATTGAATACTCGCTGCTCTAGGCGACCTCAGGCTCAAGTTTCATTGGGTAACAGTGGACCACCCAAGTACTAGTGGTTGTTTGCTATTCCTATATTCCGTCCTTAGGACCAGGAGCGCTTCGTAGGTTCGCGAAGAATCAACGATGCGGCGTTATCACTGAAGCTGAGGGTACCGCTCAACAGGTCGCTTGCCCCGAGTGAGTTTTCGTCATCATTGGATATACGGCGAGGATAATATATAAGTGCAGATCGGCGTTGACCCTCCGCTGGCGCCTAGTACCCCACTCCACTCCACAACCACTATTCAAGCATGTCTGGACCTTCAGGCATCCCATCCGATATCGCCTTCATGCGCGTTTCTGTCCTTTTTCTCGCGGTATTCTAGCTCACTCTGGTGCAACAGAACAGGACCGACGGTGAGCAAGGGTTGTATTCAGAGTTTTCAGCCGACGCGAAAAGTGCAGATGCTGGGCATTTGTCTGAATTGGTGCCTGATGGGGGTCTTAGCCACCCAGACCTGTGCGTGTGGTGGAAAATTAAATGCCCTTATCCGAGTTGTCGCATCTCTAATTCTCTCACCCAGACTTTTACCATGTCCATTTTCCGAGTGACCGCCCCGCTGTCAAGGCTTTGGGTGAGTGGCCCACTGGCTGCGCGTCGCAGTATGGATAAGTTGACGGAACAAGTGTACGGCCTGGCGCTGGTAGATCTGGCTCAGACGTTAATGGTGACGGCCGACGCTTTCCACTGGTTCTGGTGCGTGCTGCCGCTCGTTGTCCGCTCACTGCTGCTAATGCTACCCTCGATAGCTTTGGTTTCGGCAACATGAACCAACTAGACGACGTCTTTCTCAACTCCTGGGACGTCCCATTCATCGATTCGATCATCGCGCTCGTCGTCCAAGGGTTCTACTGCTGGCGCATCTATTTTATCCGCAAGAAGATCATCGTCCCCTTTGGTATATTCCTGGTAGGTGCTGCGTTGCTCGGCTCGGAATAGCATAACACAAAGTACTCAAGTTTGTCTTGTCAGATATCGATTACGGGCTGTGCTGGCGGAATCGCGACCGCTATCCGAGTGAGTTTTCCCACTTTCAGGTGCAAACTTGGACTAATGCAATTCAGGCCTACAACCTTGGCCGTCTCTCCCTCATTCGTACGGGCGTGATCCAACAGACGGTGAGCGCTTTTTACTATCTCATGAACACAACTGAACGTATCTCTCTATAGACGTGGCTTGTTGCTAACGCTGTTGCCGATGTTGCCATTGCTGGGACGCTCGCCTGGGCCGTAAGCTTTCCAAAGTGGTCGCAGTTATGTTAATCATATCCCCGCAGTTGCTGTACCAGCGAGCGGCCACATTGCCTCATACCAGAAGCCTCATCTCCCGTGTGATCAGGATGACAGTGGAGACCAATGCGCTCACTGGTATGTTCCCCTCCAGCAAAGAAAGGACGCTAACTTTTTCACTGTGTATGTAGCCGGGTTTGCGGTGCTATCGCTGATTATATTCTGGGGCGTTCCGGTGCGTTATCCCCCCTGCAGGATACCAGGTCTAAGCTCTACGGCAACAGCAACGCCCTACTCTGGTAGTGCCACCGTGAGACAGCATACTCTGCTCATTATGTTAACTAATTCACTATCGAGGACGGCCATCATCGGAAAGCTGTGAGCTTATCCACTGACTTGACCGGTACCGGTGCTGAACACCTCCTCAGATACACCAACTGCCTCGTTGCCGTCTTCAATAACAGGGCCATTGACCCAATCCGCTCAGGCACTCGGGAGCGCAAGGGGTCCGCCCCAGCCGCTGGAGCGGCTCCAGGCAGCCACGCCATGAACTCGCTTCAGTTCGTTGTTGATGACGACCAATCATCGCGCTCGCGCCTTGGCTGTGGCGCGGAGGGCGTCAAGGTTCATATCGTGCGCGAGGTGGAGCCATCCCACGACACTGGACGGGAGTTTAGCAGAGTTCGGGTGGGTGTTTTCATTTGTTCGTTTCGGAACTGAGTCCTGACGATCTATAGATTTTTCCGCAAAAAGTAGATTTTACTAGTAGGTAATGGAATTGTACAAAAAGCTCCGTAGATATGCACATGTCTTCATTTACCCTGAAAGTGCCAGTGGATTTTGAGAGAAAAAGATGCGAATTGCGAAATACACTGTTGCCAAATCAATAAGTATTAAGGCCACCATAAACGGGCTCTCGCAAGATCATCACTGAGCAAGTACTTACTTACTTGACCTACAGGTTCTCCTCAGCCAAAAAGAAGGTGCTCCCCATGAAGGTGCGGCTGCCGCCCGCCGCCCTCTTTGCGACATTATGAAGCGTGTCCTCCCAGCTCCACGCCCAGGCGCTGCGCTCGTTTGTGATTGTATCTAGTGGCGCGGCAACCCGACGAAGGAAAGCCCTGCGGCTGCCCATGAGCGGCCGAATTGAGACCCACATGTAGTCCACGGAGTCTACGAGTAGCTGGAAAGCAGTGATCGCGAGTGACCTGTTATCGAGGACGTACTCGGAGAGTTGGGCCCACGGGAAGGCGAACACGGTAGAGTCAAGATCGTACTCGTCTGGGTTGGTATATGGTACCGTATATGCAATCAGAAATTTAGAGAGAGAGCGGCGGGTGGTGGGTTGGAGGGTAGCGAGTATGTAGCGGACTACCTGGCCCACAAGTGTGTGGTCCACCTGGATGCAGAGCGAACGCAGGGACATCGGAGGAAGGGGATGTCTCACGAACTCCGCTGGTTGGGAAGAACATAGAATTAATGCAAGTCCAGATGAAGGAACGTCAACGCACCTGGGGAGTTCTTGTCCGAAATCACCAAGTGCAAATTCAAGTTTTGCAACGCAGATAGCTTGGCAAGCGTCTTGAAGCTTGCTGCAGCTCGTTCCGGGGTCAATACTTCCAATCGCACTGCACCCACTTTGGATTCCGCCCGCCGGCTACTAGTCGCGATCCAGTCGAGAACGGGGAGGGTGTCTGTATCGACAGCGCGCAGGTTTTGCGGGACAGAAAACTGCTCTGGCGGGTCCATCGTGCAATATTCCCATTCAGATACCAGCGGGCCTTGTTTCACGCAAAGGTATTCGACACTGGGGAACTGCGCCAGCAGCGCAAGGAGGCCAGAGACGGGGTTGATGCTATACGCTGATTCAATTTCAAGGTGTGTTATTCGATGGAGGAAGGCACTAGGTAGATATTCCGTCGGCTCTAAACTGGGCAGGATTCCAGACAGACACAGAGTTGTGACATTGGGGAGAAGACGCAATATGCTGAGCAGCATGTCGGGGAGCCATGGTTTGCCGATCGTTACTGCTGGCAGGCGCTCATCACAGTCCAGCTCAATAGCCCTGACGTGCGTAGTAAATGTAGGGCTTGACTGAGTCATACCCTTGGCAGGAACGAGTAAGAGGCTGAAGCGCTCGGCGTTGCGGGCCGAGAGAGAGATGCGGTGGAAGAGGTGGTGGTGGGCGGGAGCAACCCAGTCCGTGCACACGAGGCTGCAAATTGGGAGCAGCCGTACTTCGACGCGCGAGATGATCTCTAGTAAGATGTCGGAAGGGAGGTCATAAATCGGCCCTTTTTCCATTGTCAGCTCTTCGGAAACCCCCAACGTTAACACGATTCCGCCAGTCGGTGCTAGTAGGGACTTGGGGCGCCGCACCAGCGTCGACAGCCCTTGGGTGAACTTTGTCCACCCTCGCTGTTTCGCGGGGCCTGACATGGGTGGTGGTAGATTTGGAGAGAAGTCAGCGTGATTGCCATCGTGAAGCGGTGCATGTTAATCAAGTCATGTGTGCATGTGACACCATATGTCACTGATTACTCATGTGTTCTTTCTCATCCACTCACTACCACTGTGCAAGGCGTCGGCGGATTCGGGGTCCTGAAGACAGTCGTCGTCGCTCTTCGAATCCTGCCCGTTTCTAATCGAAAGATTTCCAGGACTTCAAGTTGTCCGGGGTAAGTTTCGGCCCAGTCGTCCTGAGATGAGGTCATCTCCTCCTCGGCAATCAAGTCGTCGCCAACCTCGCGAATAACGCTGATCCACCCCGACCACCTTGCAACCCTTTTCACGGCACTCTATAAGCCCAGTTCCCATGTGAGGCGACTATACTAGTATTCATCTCTTCCCTGTCCTTCCATGGCACTGCGCGTTCTTACCTTCTGCTCGCTCCTCCTCCCACTGGCCACAGCTTTCCACCAGGTCTTGCTCGAACAGCGTTCAGCCGTACCGCAAGGCTTTCGTTCTCTCGGCCCAGCGCCCTCCGCCGTAGACGTTACCCTCCGCTTCGGCCTGGCGCCAAACAACATTGAGGGCCTGCAGGCGAAACTCTTGAGTATATCGACACCAAACGACGAGAATTTCAGAAAGTGGTTGTCGGCTGATGAAGTGCGTGGCCTTTCCCCTTCGTCTTGACTGGTTTCTTATCTTGAGCATCAGGTCAAGTCCTACGCCCAGCCGTCATCACAGTCCCTTGCGGCATTCGAATCATTCCTCTCTACCCACGGTCTTACTACTTCAAACATATCGCCCAACGGCGACTGGGCATCGATTACACTCCCCATCGCACAAGCCAATTCCCTCTTTGCCGCCAACTTCCACTCCTTCACACATCCAGACCTGCCCGCGCCTATTATCCGTACCCTGAGCGTTTCGCTGCCCGCGGAACTAGTCGGCCACGTCGAAGTTATTCACCCAACGACCCAGTTCGCGGTTCCTAAGCCGAAACAACGTCTGCCATCGTTTGTTCCGGTGAACAAGCAGAGTCAATCACGGGTTATCAAGAGGGGGGCTCAGGCTGTTGATCCCAGCTGCGACGCTTCCATTCCGACTGGTGTCATTACGCCCAAATGCTTGCAAGATTTGTATGGCATTCCCATTGCGCCAGCAACACAGCAAGGAAACAGTATTTTGGTCCCAGGATATGAAGACCAATGGGCCCAGGATGCCGATGTTGCGGTGAGTTTTAAAATTTAGACTGGTGACGAGAGTTGTAGCAGTATTGACTCGATGTACAGCAATTCCTTGCGTTGGTGCGCCCCGACATTCCCTCAAACACCACGTTCACTCTTCAGACTACGGCGGGTGGTACCAATCCACAAGGCCCTGATTTTGCGAGGGGAGAGGCGGATATGGACGTCGAGTATACTATTGGTGGGCGGAAACACTATGTCCTGTACAGTCATCTCATTCAAGTTGTCAGGTATCGCGACCGGAATACCAACAATCTTCCTTTCTGTCGGCGGTATCTTCAACGACACAGCTTTAGTCGACACTATCACCTTCCTGGAGGGTGTGCCTGACAACAAGCTTCCTACCGTCATGTCGACTTCATATGCTCAAAGCGAAACCGATTTCGGGAGAAGTTTGGCTACGTATGTGCCAAACTTGTGGCTAGTTTTATGTCTTACATATCTCCACAGTCGTATTTGCAATGGTTATATGGCGCTGGGCGCTCGTGGCATGTCGGTCATTTTCGGTTCAGGTGATGCTGGGGTTCGCGGTAACCACGTCGGTCGCGCTGCCTGTGCCAACAACACATTCGAAGCCACTTTTCCTGCGTCCTGCCCCTTCGTCACAACCGTCGGCGGCACGATCGGTCTCCCGCCGAACGAGAAGGCGATTAATTTCACTGGTGGGGGGTTTTCCAATTACTTCTCTGCTCCGTCATATCAGACGGCGCAGGTAGCTGCATTCCTCGATACCGTGCCGGCCGACTTTGGCGGGACCTTCAACCGGAGCGGGCGAGGCTACCCGGACGTGGCGCTGCAAGCATGGAACTATCAAGTTGTTGTCGCGGGCGAGCCCGATACAAGCGGCGGAACGAGTGCTTCCACACCGGCTTTTGCGGGAATGATTGCGCTCCTGAACGACCAGCTCCTTGCGAAAGGCAAACCCGTACTGGGCTTTCTCAATCCGTGGTTATATGCCAATCAGAAGACATTTGGGGATGTCACAACAGGCCACAACTCGGGGTTTTTCTGTGACCCTGAAACGACACCAGCGTTTGACGCGATTGCCGGCTGGGATGCACTTAGTGGGTGGTGCACTAAATCTTTCATCCTTCCGTGCACTGACTTTCAATTCAGCTGGTCTGGGGACGCCCCAGTACAACAGCTTATTGTCTGCCGCATTAGCCCAGAGTACAAATCAACAGTGATATCAGCCCAAACAAATTAATAATTGTAGGCTAGGAACAGTTATAACTAAGGTAGGCTATACAGCATACTAGTAGCTGGTATTCTGTCTAAAAATGTTGGTGACTATATGGGTCCTTGTATATATATTATAGGCAGGATTGAGTATGAATCTACTAGTGAGGAAGATGTTTATGGGAGTATGGGAGACATATGGAAGATATATTGTAAAAAAAGATTAGAGACAACTTGGGTAAAATAGAAATAAAAATATGGTACAACTTTATATTGACTACACCTACATGTTTGTCAAATACTTACAACATTACCGATAACATATACAACTTGTCTGAGTACAAGTTTCCAACATGAGACAACTTTTTCTTGGAACTATGTACAACTTTTCCAGAAACAACTTTTCATTTGGCCAAAGACAACTACAACTTCTAATAAGACATCTTTAGCTCTAATTCAGGTGTAACTTTTTCATAGGTAAGGCAACTTGAGTCTGGCTATGACAAGTCCAACTTGGGCAAAGACAACCTGTCATTGCATATGACTTTCCAAAATGCAACTTTTCTTGAGTGCAACTTTTTTGGGGTACAACTAGCCAGTTGAACAACTTTTCCTAGTACAACTTTATTGCTGTATATTAGAAGTTGTAGTTGTCTTTGGCCCAATAAAAAGTTGTTTCTGGAAAAGTTGTACATGGTTCCAAGAAAGTGGTATCCCCCTAAAGTTGTACATACTCTTACAAAAGTTGTCTCATGTGGTAATTTGGCTTGTACACCCATCATGTCACGGCAGGTCCGGCATGTCATCGGCTATTTGACACTTCTCAGACGTTGACCGAGTGCCCGAGGGCTCATTGTTGTCCTCAGACGTATCAGATAATGACACAGTCAGATATTTGAGGCAAATAGATTGTATATACATATCTAATCTAAACTACAGAGTGTGAATCCTTTCGTTTTTGAGATTTCTCGGGTGACGGCGGCAGAAGCCGTCCCTTTTTTGGGAGAAAGGGTGTCTCTTGTCAAGTCATCATGGTGGACCCCAAGAGACAAGAGCAGCTCTTCAGACTCAATTAGGGCTCCAACTATTTAGTTTTCGTTTACATCTCCAGGTAAACTAAACGGAAATGGTAAGAAAACATTTAGTAAATGTTTATTACCATTTAAAAACAGTTAAAAATGCTAATATAATCACATAGAATAATTAACAATTTTATGGTACGTACTTGAGTTTATAAGGTTTATTTAAGTGAAGGATGTCATTTTCTCACTTGTAATACTGTTCTAAATGGGCATGTAGGTCAAGATTCATTGCCTTTGACTTATTTGATGCTGGATCATGTGATGGACTCCTGGAAGAGGAGGCCTATGAATGCCGCAACTATCCATATTCATGTAGGATGTATGTTCTACACTAGTATGCATGTGGTAACCAGACATATTCCTAGTAGTAACATGGTTATGAGCCTGTCAGCTATTGTTATTAGAGGATAACCATTTAAACCATTTGTTTTCATTTATTTACTATTTACATACTATGGTAAACTAAATGAAAATAAAAACGGTTATTACCGTGTACAAACATTTGTACACGGAAATGGTTGGAGCCCTAGACTCAATGCCGGCTGAGGGATCCGCAGTGTGGTCGTAAACAACATCATAAATCACGGTTGTATAGTATTCCGAAATGACAGCGGCGGTGGCAGCGGAAACAATAAGCTTGTTGTAATAAATCTGGGTTTTGAGATCGCTGGCATCGAGGCGTGGGATGCCATTTGGTGGTAGAGTCCGGTCCTTGGGTTTGCCAGGCATTTCCGGTGGGCATATGAGGCGGGATGGCGCGTGGTGTTGTGGATGGTGGCAACTTGAAGCAGGTACAAAGTTCAATGGGGGCGTGAGGCCCGTGCATTATTCTCACTAGCCGAGGGACAATGGGACCGCGACATGACAGGCGGAGACAGAATATGTCAATGACTACCTAAAACGGACATGCCGAACGTGCCGGACGTCCGATCAGCCGATGATGGGTGTACAGGCCCAGAGACCGTCTCATGTTGGAAAGTTGTACTCAGACAAGTTGTAAGTTGCATTTGACAAACATGTTGTAGTCAATATAAAGTTATACGGGATGGTGGTGATGGATGAACAATGGATTGTTGCGGCAGATACAGAGGTGGGTTGTTTTGCTGCAAAGGATACTTAGTTGACTTTTGCCACAGAATGATAGTACTAACAACCATGACATGGTCTTTCTCAAGATGGGCTGATGTGAGTCATGTGACCGGTCTCTTATGAATAGCACTGACTACTAATCACACAAGGGTTTCTGCCAAAAAATAGGCCCTGAAGTAGGATTAATTCACAATAAATAGTGGACAAAAAATGTATATTTTCACAACTTAGAACAATAATAAATAAAACTCCAGAAAAATAAACTTGATTTGTAAAGAATTAGCACATATATTAAGTCATCAGATTGGACTGAACTCAGAGCTAATATCAGCTGACAATCTTGTTGCAATGATTTGCAACAAATAAATGCACCAAATATGTTACAAGATATAAGACCATACATATCAAAAAATCTGGGCCAGCACCAAAGTGTGCCTAATATATCAGAAATAAGTGACAAATTGCCATTATATATGACAAATCACCCTTATATATGACAAATTGGGGTAATAATAATGTGACACTATTTCTTTGAGAAATATTTGAGCTTGAATAATGTGCACTTATTGTTTACAAAAATATGGTTTGGAATGGGGTAGTCATTATGTATGTGATATTTAATACCATGATATAGAACTTGATTTCTTGTAAATCAGATACAATTTTTGCAGCTTTTATTGCACATCAATCAAAGTGGCAAAAAAGGCCAACATTTTGGACCATTATTGTCAAACCCTGGGTTCAAGAAACCTTTTTCTTCACCTTTTAAACCTTTATTTTGGCCCTGGCTGATAAGAGAAGACAAGGAGGAGATAAGATGGACGATAAGATGGTGATTGGATTATCAGATGTTGATGCTGATGTTGATTGACAGCATGGAGTTGGACATGAGGCAAACAGCACATAAAGGCATGGCTAAAGTATTAGGGCCTGGTTTTTTAAAAGTCTCTAGGTTATCAAACCTGTTTTATAAAAAACCTCCTCAGACCCCTGTTTTTAAACCGTTTTTAAGTTTATAAACAGCTTGGCCAAGATCGCCGAAATGAACCAAATTTGCCATTTTAAGTTAGGTTTTTGCCCAAATATCTGCTTTATAGCCTACAACATACTATCCAAAGGTTATTTTCATCAAGTGTCAAAGTTTGATAGTTCTGATAGTTATTTGATTGTATCAACAGCAGCAGATAGCACCTGCTGCTTGTCTTACATGTTGAAGTTTTTAACATTTAAACCAAATCAGGACAATTGGTTCTGATTTGGCCATAAACATTGTCAAAAGTATTGTTCTTGGGTCCCATCTCCCTTTTGGTGCTGACTAATACAAACATTAAAAACAGGGCATCCTGGGAGAGAGTGTTTATAAACAAATAAAACAGGGGTGTTTTAAAACCGGTTTCGAAACACCCCAATAAAAACCAGGCCCTATAAAGTATGATGTTACTGTTGTATTTTATTCAATTCGAATGCCAAAAGTGGTGTGACATTCAATACGAAAATATCAATTCGAATTATTTCCTAATTAGGAAACTCTTGGCGCCGGAGGCGGCCCGGAAATGTCATAAATTGCCTTTTTGGGAGAGGATTTTGAGCAAAATTGTGTGACATACGAAAAAATTTCGAATTTTATAGCTACTGTGACACGTGACATACGAACTGAATAAAACGCTACAGTATTGCCTCTCGTATTAGGCATGGTAAACACATGGTAGTAGCGTATATAAGTAGAGTAGATTTCGTCTTGTACCCCAGTCTTCGAATTCCATCACGTTTACGATATCTTTTCACGGTGCTTCTTGCTTGCCTTCACTAGCCAACTGACATCCTCTGATTTGGTGTTGTTTGTGACAATTATTTCCTATATATAAATCCTATTTTTCAGCTGAAACCCCCGGTGTGACCATATGTTTAGTTGTATTTTACCCAAGTTATCTCTATTTTTTTTTTTTACAGTACTTATGTCCCCCATACTCCTATATTGTTTAGATAAATAACCACATTCTAAATTTCGAATGATATTTACTGTAAGATTTTAGTTTGTAGGATTCCCGGGCTTTTGGCGCGGTAAATTACCAAGTGGGGGAAGATCATACAAATCTTTTCGGACATCAACGGCCCCGGGGGCCATTCGAATTGGATACAATCTCACAGTATTGTCTCAACTGCAAGATTAATCTGCCTTGGATAAATTCTACGCGTCATTCTGAAGTGAGCTCGGGATTAATCTGTTATGCAGAATTATTCCTAAAACTCGGCAGTCATGCACTCAAGTTAAGTCTAGCAAGTCCTAGCCCTAATTAATTGTCTCTTCCTAGAAGTTGCGAACAAAATTAATTTTTTTTCAGCGGGAAAGAATAAAATCAATGCTACAGCGTGTCGACGACATCCTCATTCAGTCCCCACCCGCGTTTCCCCTCCTGACTGTTCTTCATCACGGGCGTCGCCCTGCCTGCGTATCCATTCTCCCGCATCCACCGCTCGAGCGAGTATGTTTCTGGATGCACGCTCTTCACCCACTCGACGTCTTTCTTCCACACATTGTCCCGCAGCACGCGCCAGAAACCCGAGAAGTTGGCCTTCGCAGTGGTGCCTGGACCCGAGCTGGCCATGGCTAACGGGCTGTTGATTCTGTCGTCGAAGTTGGCCCAGTACTCGTCGAGCGTTTGGCGGAGGTAGACAGCGGGCTTGCCCGTGACCTTCGTGAATGTCTGCAGCTCGTGTCAGTGGCGCGGACTCGATGTAGAATCGACACGCGCCTCGACAAGGTGGTCCCAGGTGACGAGCTCAGAAGTGACACCAAGCTCTTTCGCGGATGTGTCTGCGCGATGGTCGAAGATGTAGCGGGCCCACCATCCGAGGTCTTTGAGCGCGATCATCGGTACCGCACCGTCGCCAACAGGGGATGCGAAGACCACGGTTCCGTCCGGTCGCACTTTTATGGGGTCAAATAGTCCCTCGGTAACTTTTAGCGTTCGGATTTTCGAGTAGTAAGCGATAACCCACCGCGTAGAGCAGCTCCATGTAGGGGCCAGTGTTGATTATACTCCAAGACAGCGCCGTATCGGACACAACGGACGGCTGGGAGCGCAGATACTCCGAAACCCGCCCTTTGCCGTCAAGATGATCGACTTTGTAGTCCGGGTCAAAATCCATAGCCTAATTATAATGTGACCACAGGTAAGCAATGAAACGAGCCGATGTAGGCTACTGACTTTCAGCGCGTAGATAAGCCCACTATAGACGTAGTGCCGCAGGGTTGGGACACGTTTGGCTGTCTCGAAAATCCGAATGCCCGCATACTACCAAGGCATACTAGTAAGTGGCTCCAGTCTCCAATTATCATATATAAACTCACTATTTCCTCTATTTCTCCAACGGTGAAGCCATCGGTGTTGACATATACGCCGTAGATGCCATCCATTGCCCGCGCGACCGATGCAATGTCCTGGAAAGACCCAGTAACGCATTCGACGCCCCGCGCCGACAGTGCGAGGGCTTGTTTACTTGTCGGATCACGAGTTAAGGCGCGGACCGCGTAGGGAGAAGGGGTGCCCGACTCCGAAGGCGAGAGAAGAGCGTGGATGACGGCCTGGCCCTGTGCGCCTGTCGCGCCAATGACGAGGATGAGTTGTTTACTTGCGGTGGACATTGTGGTTAGATATGCTTTACTGTTGTTTGTAAATATGCTGCATTGAACGAGAATGGGGACTTACTTTATACGCTCTGCCCTAATATTGGCTCATGGGAGCACTCTGACTGAGCTCGGCGGGCATCCCCGGGCAGAACGCGCAGAGAGGGTCTGAAGAGCGCGTGATTCGCGCGCCCTTGGAATCGGCCAAGATGCCCACGAGGGGCATCTTTTGGAAGCACGACACCGCGTTAGCGGCGCGTGACCCGGAGATGCGGTGCGGACCGGCGCGAGAACGACCGGTGGAGCGCGGGGAAGCCTAGGCCGGGGCGAACGTGTTCGCCGCTGACTGATGGAGGCGCTGGAACTGCCAGCGATTGGGCAGTGCCGTTAACGCGCAAGACAGCGAGGATGGAAGGGTGGGTGTGTAGCACCCGTGTGGAGCGATAAGGACGCGTATGACGCGCGTCAGATGGCGGGAACGAGCGCGACAAGAGCGCGCGTCGGTGGACACGTGACCGAGCGACGGCGCTGCGGCGTAGGCCGATCACGGAGGCCGATCAAGGGGCCGGGCCGGCGGTGCTTCCGCCTCAACTCAGCGCTTCAAGGAGGTCCCCTTGGGACGAATTGGGTGCTTCAAGGGGAGCATTAAGCCCCTGAAATGGAGAGCAGTGTGTCAAGGAGGTAGGAATGGAGCGTTGGCGCGTCAAGGAGACGCGTCAAGGGGCTCCATTCTGGGGTAAAATGGAGAAGAGGCTGCGCTGGCCGAACGCGGGGGCCGATCACGGGGTCGCGTCTCGGGGAGCGTACCAAGGAGGATCAAGGAGACAAATTAAGGAGGTGCCCGATTGTCGGGGCCACCCCCGATGGTTTGGACGCTGACCAATGCTGGGCACCTTGTAATATAAATTGGGCATGCATTGTACTAGTACAGTAGTGAAGTTTGGCTTGCCCCGGGCCCTCGCGGGGTTGTGTTTTGGTTCCGTTACGTTGTCTCCGTTATCGCCGCTGTCTACGATCGTCTCCGTTATCGCCGTCTGGTCCGTTAAGTCCGTCTCCGCCGTTGTATTGTTCCGCCGTCGTCCCCTCCGTTCCGCTTCAAGTCTTGTGACCGTGTTCGATCCCGTGCCTCAAAGTTCAAGATTACCTAATCGCCTGCATTGCGCCCAATTACATAATCGACCCGAAATTGTTGTCTGAATTGCAACTGCTATATACTTTAGTAGGAGCCCCGAACTTGCGCGCTTGTGAAAAACCAAACTACCCCAAATCAAACTCCGACGTGATCCGATTGATCCGACTGATCCGAAGCTCGGCATAGGTGGTTTAGGTCCCGAATAGGTTGTGTGTTGTGTTGTGTGTGTTTGTTGTCTGTGTTTGTGTTGGAGTTGGGTTTTGTGTGGTTTTGTGTTTCTCTTTTAGTGTCTGTGTGTGTTCACCTTTCCAAGCGTTTCATCTGGAGCCCACCGCGAGGGGGTTCATTCAGATTAAACAACTTTTGTGTCTATTCCCACGCCTACCTGCCAAATTAGGAAGGCACCCAAACGTGACTTGATCTATCAAACTGTCGAGTCTATTACCGATCTTAGAGGATTTTGAACCTTCATATTCAAGATCACCATCCCTTTCCGTATCCGATCAACCTTTATTGTCTGAAGAAGAGCTTGAACAACAAGAGCTTGACTATCATTCGGACGATTCATATCTTTTCGACTGGTCTTTCCGTTTACGTCCAGTTACACCAGAGTTCTTTCAAACTTCTACTCCAAAGAAATCTCAGAACCAGAATAATATGGCCAATCCACCAGCTAATCCACAAGTTTCACCTTTCAAAATTCCAAGAGCTTGGGAGACCAGTGCTCCTAAGTTCACATCAGACAACAAGGAAGATCTGTTGGACTTTATAGATCATGTGGAACAAATCTTTGATTTGGCTAGCATTACAGATAATGCTGAGAAGAAGAAGTTATTGACAGGATACTTAGGAGCCAAGAAGAGAACAGTGTGGAGGGAACTGCCAGAGTATAATGATGTCAACAAAACCTATGAAGACTTCAGAAAGGCAGTTATGAAAGTATACCCAGAGGCAGATGAAGAAGATATAGGTTCTCTGGAGGAGTTAGAGGAGTTGTGTGCAGAGTATAGGGGTATTAGGTATACTGAAGAAGGAAGACTGGCTAGGTTTGGCATGAAGTTCAAGGCTATGGTGATCAAATTGTCTAAGCCACCAGCAATCATCTTGAACAAGGAAGCTTGCACCAAGTATCTGGCAACATTGGAGAGAGGTTTTGCACAGTCACTTAGATTGGCTATGAACACTAGGAACCTCTTGAAGGAAGATACTGCTGCACAACCTGCTGCACCACCTGCTGCTGGTGCTGCTCAGCCAAATGATAGGAGGGAGGACCCAATCAAATTAAAGGACCTAATTGAAATGGCAGAAAAGTTCTCACGCTCTGGTGGAAGTGATACTTCCTTCAATACAGAGGCTCCAGAGATCAAAAGGTCTGAAAGATTTCCAAGGGTCAAACTTGAAGAAAGAGATGTGAGGTTGGATGACCTTGAAGGACAAGTGTCTGGTCTTAGAGATGCTGTGGTTGTAGGACAGAAGCAGACACAGGCTTCTATTGATGAGTTGGTCAAGACTTTCCAGAACCAAAGAAATGCACCACCACCTAGGGATGATTATGAACATAGGCAATCAGCTCAGAACTCCTATGGGCAACAAGAACGTCAACCTAACCGCGGGAATTATGGTGGAAATGGTTGGGGAAATCAAAGAAACAACAACAACAATGGAGGGGGATGTTACTATTGTGAACAGCCAGATCATTTTGCCAGGGACTGCCCAGTCAAGCATAGTCACCTTGCCAAAGGATGGATTGTAGTGGAAGATGGAAGACAGAAGATGGCAGATGGAAGTGCAATACCAAGAGGACCAATGCCTGCATCAAATAGAGTGGAAGAGTACTGGCAGAAGAAGAACACCATGGAGCAACATATGTATATGGAGGGACCAGCAGTGACTGATGATGAATTTGACCTCCTCAGGGATGAAGTCAGAACTATCCATGTCAAACTCAGTCAACTCTCTGACAAGATGAAACCAGCACCAAATAGTGGTTATCATCCATCCAATGTTCACCCTTCTTATCTTGCTGCTAATTCTCAGGTTTCTTCAATTCACAATGCTAGGCCTGTTCAGAATGGGAATAATGATGTTGAGGCAATTGGGAGGGCAGTATTGAATTTTATCAACTATCAAGATGAATTACCTGAGCAATATGTTCAAACTCGGGGTCGCAATGGAGCTAATTCGTCTGGGTCGGATTTTTAAATATCTCGATGAAGGAGGCCAAGTCTAGGAATAAGCCGCCTGAGAGAGAACCATCCGATAAAAATTCAACAGAAAATGCCAAAAACAAGGAGAAAGAGAGGAGAGAAGTTTCTAAAGAGAAGGAAGTGGTAGAAGAAGTGCTGAAGGAATTGCCATACAAGTTTGTCAAAATTGGGAAGAGTGGGGCTCGAACTCAGCCACTACCCAATAAGGCAACTCCAAGGCAAGACAAAGAGGAAGATGGGAGAGCATTTAAATTAAGGGCACCCATTCAGAGGGAAGGTCTGACAGATGAAATACTGGAGCGCATCAACGATACAGAAGTCACTATCAGACTAGGAGATTTATTTGGGCTCAGCAGGGATCTTAGGGAACAGGAAAGACTTAGGTTGACCAGAGTCAGGCAGCCAGTGGACACTATTCAAGAAGTGCCAACAGTTTCATTGGCATCAAATGCTGCTCAACTGGTGTCTGAACCTGAACCCTTCAAGTTAGATGTGGATGCTGTGGAAGTCAGTCAATTGCCAAGTGTGGCTGGGGTATTTGTGGTGAATACTGATCTTGATGGTATTCCTGCTGGATCTATGGTGGCACAAGACCCTTATCTGCAGTATCTGGAAAATCTTGATGAAGATGAAAGACCCAAACAAATTTATGTGGCTCAAGATTCAGTACCTCTGAGGGTTACCTTCCCTCATATTAATTCAGTTGGACCTGTGGAGTGTGTTTTGGACTCTGGATCGCAGATTGTATCTATGTCGCTGGAAACAGCGCAGGCTTGTGGACTTATGTGGGACCCTTCTATTAACATATTTATGCAGAGTGCAAATGGACAGCTGGAGAAGTCTGTGGGAATGGCGAAGAATGTAAAGTTTAGATGGGGAGAGTTGACTCTATTCCTTCAAGTTCATGTGATCCGCGGACCTGCCTACAAAGTTCTATTGGGACGACCCTTCGATGTGCTGACTAAGAGTCGAACTGATCATGAAGGCGATAACCAAATTTTGACTGTTATTGATCCAAACACTGGTCGACATTGGGCTGTTCCAACTCAGGATCGGGTCAAACCAGGATCTTCCAAACAGGGTAATGGTTCAAATAGCAACAGGACTAGGGTTCCTCTCCAAAATCTAGAGGAAGAACAGGATTTTCACACGTCTTCGATGAATTGGGCCAAATGGGACAAGGAGAAGAAGCTGCGGTCCTTATAGGATTTGATGAAAAAGGAAATCCTCGCATAGAAGAACTGTACCAACCTGTTGGAGGGCAAATGACAACCAGGAAAATTGTGGAGTCGTATTTATTGGCATCGAAAAATAAGTTGGCTGGATTCGGAAATGACGAAAATGCCACAAAAATATTTGAAGAATTTATGCAAGGCAAAATCGACAATTCAACTGGAGTACCGCATACAGTTCTGGCAAATGTTTTGGTGGACCCCAAGGATAACAAGTTAGAGCATAGGGACAGGGGAGAGAGATGTGTATGCTGTCAGAGCATTGACTTCATTGATCCGCCAGAAGACCCGAAGACGTCAGAAGCGAATGAATTGATCGGGGATCAAGATCAGGAACCGAAGTCTGTCTTTGCGGGGAAGAAGTATAAGCCTGTGGGGTTGAAGGTTCGACCGGTGTATACTGAATTGCCGGACCGGTACCGAATTCGAAGGAAGATTACGGGTGAT